GCGTAGTGCACTGGGAACACTCTGACAGGGAGAAGTTTGCGTATCTGCATCTGACCTCATCTCCATCAGGATCAAAGTCCAGCAGGTGGAAATCTCTCCGACAGTTTGAAGGAACTCTGACAGAGAGAAACAATATGTGAAGCACGAGCCAGGCAGCCAACCGATCTGCTGTTGCTCAATTTTGTCTAGACAGAGTTAACTATTAAATGTCAAAGGATGTGTTGTGGCATAAAATGGTAGAACTGCTGACAAATAGATAGACAAAGAAACCGTGAGGGGGGTCACCTCAAGACTGGCAGGATTGTGGTCTGGGGCGATGTGTTGGCTTGTCCGATGTCCGACCTGTTCCTCAGCTCCACTCCAGTCACAGCTCTCCAACTTGAGATGCTATTCTTATTATTTATCCAGGCATTGCCAGTCAACCTTCATGAGAAAGTCAAGTTTTAACATGCTGAACAGAACCTGGCACATGTACCCATGTCTTGCATAAGCGTTCCTGTAACTTGGAAACTATTCTAATATTAAATATGTTTAAAAATCATTATGACCAGAGCGAAAGCAATGATTGGAACAATATTGTTGTGACACCAAAAGCTTTACCTTGCATTACTTTTCATTTAGCTGACACTTTTATTCAAAGCGATTTACAATAACTTACAAAAACCTAAATATGGTGGTGGTTTCTTTCCTTGATTTCTCATTACATAATAGTTAACATGTATGTCTTACTGTTTTACCACCTTTACAACATGCTTTGGCAACGCTAAGTTTCAATATTGTAATAATAATAAAGCAATTCGAATTTGTATAAACCACCACCAATTAAATGAACCTTAATTTTCTGTTTTTGCAATCAACAATCTTTTCTTTAAAGGTCTTCAAACGTTTTAATTGTGATTTTGTACCCTCTTTTAAACAACAGACTACGTTATGTCTATTATTACTGTATGTAACTCACTCTAATTGGAACTGAGAGTAGCTGGGAACCCGCCGAGTCATGATTCCCTCTCTTTGACACCACTCACTGCTCTCCTGGTCCACCACGTTTAGCACCAGAGAAGTCTGAGTCCCGCAATTTTGAGAAGAGCAGTCCCAGGAGTCGTTCGTAGAACAAAGGTGGAAGCTCAGCTTATACCGAAGGACAACCTGTAGTTATTACAGTGGCCGAGTGTTATTCCAGGGAAAGAAAACATAAAAAGTTGGGGGGAAAAAAATCTATCGTGTTTTTTTAGATAACATGAATGGTCCAGGCTCCATACAGAGACAACAAGCACCTCATTCAAAGGTAATGCAAAAAAAATCCTTGTGAATCCCTCTAATTGTAGTTTTCTAAGAATAACATTTTCCAAAATTGCTGTTTTTACTTTTTCAGCTATTATTAATTCACAAACAGTTAGTTATGTGAAGTTATTCTATTTATGTATTGTCACATTTCAACAGATAAATATTGAATTAAAAGAAAACTTTACGTACCGTGAGAGATCCATCTGCATTAGTGTTTTTTGGGTAATAAGTCATTACTGTCCCGTAAAAATGAGACGACTGGGCGCTGCAGACCAGCAGTAGCAGCAGCAGAGAGACAAACATAGTAAAGGTGTTACTTTCTCCACACAATGAGAGTAAATGACTACCAAGACAAAATCATTTACTTCAAAAGACAGCCCTTCTTCGTCCCTCCCTTCCCCTTTTTGCTTTTTGGCTGTCTTCCACTCAGAAGATCTTTTGAGTTTATAGTAGAACAATAAACCAGGAAACTGCCGGGTATGAGGAACTGTTTGATGATACGGTTTATTCCAAAGAAGAGGTGAAGGTAAATATGATGCAGAATGCGAGAACTTGTAAAACCTGATGTGATTTGTGTCTACAGGTGAAACTTACTTTAGCGACACATTCATCGCAAGAAGTGTAGGAAAAATCTAGGCCTCAGATTCGTCGAATACTGCCACAGAGCAGATTTGTGAAGTTGTAATGACTGATTTGAGAGGTTGTAATAACCAAGTTGCAGTTCTAATGGAAAATATATTTAAAAAATATATATTTTTCTGTAAGTGAACATTTCATTTCACAAGCTACAACACTTTTTTTTTTCCTGTCACTTCAAATTTGGTTCACAGATACGTGGATATTTTAAAGTGTAAATGTATGCACACCAGCTCAGATTTTTTTTCTGCAAGTGCTCACATCAGGTTTTACAAACTCTCGCATTTTGCACCATATCTACCTTCATAAGAAGAGATGATTATTGACAGATGGGTGAGTCCAGGTAAAAATCTATTGTATGAAACAATTAGACTAGATTGACTTAAAGGGTTGTTTATTATAAAGAAATACCTAAATGAACCTTTAACGGACCAGAAGACATTTAAAAATTAAAAATTCAAATAACACTCAGGGAACTGTTCATTAAACCGTTTAGGTAAATTAAAAAAATGCAGGGACTGCTCTTTAAATTGTGCACCTATTAAATAAAGAGAATTGGATTCAGTATTGGAATGCGGCCCGACCATAAAATTATCAATTTTGGCTCCAAGCTACTGTATGTTCACCATGCTCCTAGTTTATTTGTTACTCAGTGTTTTTGGATATAAATGGGAGGATGTCCCGGCGGTAAACTGTCTCAAAAACAAGATTCCTCTTTCCTCTCATTCCAGTCACATACAAAGCAATAGAGCCCGCCTTCCCAATTCAAATTGGCCAATCAGGTCACTTGATTAGTTGTGATTGGTCACAAAATTAACAAACAAATAAACAAAAACGTCAATTACTAATTTATTGTCATAATTACATTATTTACTTTCAAATAATACGTTTTAACCATGCATCTTTGAGTGTCATCAATTCAACTTCATCATCATCATTTGACCAATCACAGTTTAGACCCCGCCCACTCTCAAACCACATATCAAGACTGAAGGAGAACTGAAACTCAGCTCATGGATTTCATGATAGATTATCTGTTTATCATTAACTCCTCTTTACAAACATTTTTTTAGCAGACAGTGAGAGAGGAATTTGGATCTTCCTCACACATTTGAAGAGCGGTTGCTCTGACGAGGCGTAGAGTCATGTCTGATGTCAGCCCTTGTCTTACAAGTTCATCTCTTATCTGCAAAAGATAGACCCTCCAGAAAAACGCGGGCTAAAATCCTTGATTATGCGATTAAACATGCAGGGTTTTTATGTGATTTTATGCGGTGAAGTTGCGAAATATGCGGAAATATGCTAAATATGCGAAAAGTTGCGAAATATGCGGGAGGCGGAAAAAAGGTGATTCTTCTCCCACACCCTGTTACTAGGCTACTACTGAATGAAAGTGAGCCCTTTTAAAGAGTTCCTATGATAAACAAGCATACTAGAAGCAAGCTACATCACAAAGTGTTATTTATGTATTTATATATGGGCTATTTTAATCACTCTCTCTCTCACACACACACACACACACACACACACACACACACACACACACACACACACACACACACACACACACACACACACACTCTTCTCCGCCTCATTCTGTTTTCATTTACTCATTCGTTATCTGACCAGCTTCAATCTTGTAGACTACTCACTAGTGATGGGAATTCCGGCTCTTCTTGGTGAGCCGGATCATTTGGCTCGGCTCACCAAGAAGAGCCGGCTCTTTCGGCTCCCAAACGGCTCTTCAGTTTACCACATATTATACCTTTTATAATTCAATCAAATGTAGCCCTGTTTTGACTAATGATTTATATGTGTACACATGTCACTTAAATTATTCAATACATCCTTTGTACTGAAGCATTCAAAAGTAAAAATTACATGTTTAATATCAATTATTTGCTGTGGCCAATTGTTTTCATTGCATTTACAGACCCTTGTATCTCTCTGATACCACCCAATGAATGCATAGACTTGCTTGTAGAACCACGCTACACAAAGCAGATAGCAACACCTATAAAAACTTAAGCATAGACATTTAATAAAAGGGGCTACTGTATCGACATTTTAAAATTATATTTAAAGAAAAGGCCCTGACAAAACAGCAGGGCTCTATTTCAGTATTAACTATAGAAAAAAAGACAGCAACAGCTGACATCAAATCTTTGCTGAGCCCAAGGATAATCATAAATAAATAACATAGTGAAAATAAATATATTGCAATGCTCAGTACAGCAGCATCCAACCGTCTCTAATCATAAAAAAACATAATACAAATAAATATATTGCAATGCTCAAAACAGCAGCATCCAACAGTCTCTAATCCTTGGATATTACATGTCACTGCATGCATGCACGGAGCAGCTGTAGCGCGGAGATCATCATATCATTCTGTCTTGTATTACTTAACAAAAAATAACAAAAACAAAAAAACGGCTCGTTCGCGGGCGCGAGCCGGCTCCCGTCGTTCACTTAAAAGAGCCGGCTCTTTGAGCCGGCTCGTTCGCGACCGACACATCACTACTACTCACCTCGTTTCTTGTAGCCCTCGAAAGGGTTTTGGAGGTTGATGCCTCGGTGAACGTGAGTTGTTTGACTTTCTTGTCCGCAGCAGCAAAAAGCATTTTAGAATGTTTGAATGAATCAAAGTGGGTCGTCACCGTCGATTTTCTCTTATGCTCCAACACACAGTTGCACGGGGTGCAGAATAGTTTCGCCCCACTTTCGTGCAAGACATCGGGGTACTGCTTTGCCCGGTCTTTAGCAGAAATGTTCGTAGGCAAATGAGATGGATTCGATTTGTTCATCTTGGTCAGAGCCGTATAATAGTATAATAGTATATAATAATAATAGTATAATAGTATATAATAATCTATATGGCACTGATCTTGTTGTTTTCTCTCTCGTGTGAGTTCCACACATTCACTCTACGGTGTTGTTTACCTGCGCGAGCTGATGACATCACTACTTCACGTTAACTTTTTTTTCCCTCAACTTTGTGTGGAAAAATGCGGGGATTATGCGACCTTTTAATAAATATGCGCCCTTTTAAAAATCTGTGCCATTTTGCTGATTATGCGCTACATTATGCGATCGCATAATCGCGTTTTTCTGGAGGGTCTAAAAAGAAAAGTAACAGTAGTGCTGAGATATGATCATGGCAACAATCAGATATCATAGTTCTGTGTAAAGTGAGTGCTGTTATTCTTATATTGCATAGTCCTTACACAACGTCTCAAATGGTTTTTGGAGACACATGATACTTGATTAACTTTTACTTTAACACGCACTTCATGTGTCATTAAGCTATGGAGTTTCCAACAATTTGATTTATGTTAGACTTACGTGGAGACAGTTGCCTCTGCAGTGACGCTGATAGAAAGGGTCTGATTGACAGGGGCGTACAGTTGAGCTTTGTTGGCTGGAGTTGGTGTCAGGAACCTGGGCAGATAGAGTCCCTCTGTGCAGGAGGGCACTGCGGGGTCCACTGGAAAAATAAAGAAAAGCAAACTGTTTCCAAGGAATGCAAGCCTCTAGGGTCGCCTATGCAACACCACTTTGGTCCAGACATATTGGTAACTCTAGATTACCATAAAATGTTGTTCATGGTGCTAATGAATTCTAATGTTTATAGTGACGTTTTCCACCAGCATGTTCACTTATTCTTTGAAAAATCTTGACTTCTACCATATTTTATGGAACAAACTTGCTATTTGCTTACAGAGACTGAGTTTTTGATTAAGCTGTATGTCATCATCGGCTAACTGGACGCCATACTTGTTATTGATAACTATCTCGTTCTGAAAGCTGGCATTGCAAAATAAAAACTCTTACCTCGTATAACGTTGTTGATGGAACGGCTGTGGTTATTGTTGGCTCTGTAAGGCGGAAAGGAAAATACAAGAAAGATTACCAGGAAAATATAAATGGAATGTAAAAGTAGAAGCTAAGACGGTTTGACTCACCATTTTCAACACTCACAATGACGCATCGGAGCTCAGACTGATATTTGGTGGTTGAACTGTGGAAGTTAGGGTCATTTACAAAATGGTGACACAAATCTTTACCACCAATATAATATATTCATTTAAATTATTTTAGGAAGTTAAAAACTAAATTCCTCCCCATATCCTTTCTTATCTTTTATATTTATTCTTAATGTTCAGCCGATCAAGCGACTGACCTCGTGATTGATTGGATGACAAAACAGAGTTCAATGTTATCAATTCTAATTCTAGAGCATTATTGTAGCAACAAAACAAGTTTTTTATATAAATATATAGTGAAGTAACGACCGAAGTTGCTCTCCCTGTGTGTTTGGTAATCCAAGTTCCTGACTAAACTTTTTTTTTTAAAGGGTCCATGTCATGCTTTTCCGGTTATTACCCGTCCCCTTGTGTGTTATGAAGGTTTTTATGCATGTAAACGGTGTGCAGAGTCAAAACCCTCAAAGTACACCCTGTAGCGAGTAAAACTCTAACACAGAAAATACCTCCCCAAAACGCCTCGTTGGAGATACGTCATTGTCCATTTGATTCTTCCATTTCGTTCCGGGTACGGCATGATGTCAAGCCGTACCCGGAACGAAATGGACCAATCCGTGGAGCCGTTACGTTACGTCCGCGGAGCCGTTACGTTAAGCCCCCGCTGATTGGTCCAAATTGACCAATCCACGGACTTCCTCACACACACATCTGTGTGCAGGGAGCAGGCAGCTCAGCTGATTTCTCCTCCCTGGCTGCAGGCTGATAACAGACAGTTGGGATCGCGGCAAAATTCTCTCTGCAGACCCATTCTCTCTGCTGACCCATTCTCTCTGCTGACCCATTCTCTCTGCAGACCCATTCTCTCTGCAGACCCATTCTCTCTGCAGACCCATTCTCTCTGCAGACCCATTCTCTCTGCAGACCCATTCTCTCTGCAGACCCTTTCTCACAGCGTTTATCAACCTTTTTCTTACTCAATATCAAGCCACACTTAATGTTTTTACTTCGGCTGTGACTTTGTGTGTGCTCAGGATGAGTTTGGCTGTGTTTGGCTGTGTATCGCTAACAAGGAAACGACACCTCCACGGAGCTCAGCGCGATTCACAACGTCCCGACCAATCAGAGCACACTGTGCTCACAGGGAGGGTGGGGGCTGGAGCTATTGGAGCTACAACGAGCCGTTAAAGGCAGAGAGTGAAATTCAGTGAATACACGTAGTTTACAGAGATGCTGTTTGAGAAACCAATGTGAGTTTGGAAAATTGCACAATATAAATCTATTCTAGTAGACCTCAACAATGGAATTATGATCAGTGGAAATGGCCATGACATGGGCCCTTTAATGCTGTTTTTCATGCCTTCATTGCAGTTGTTCTACGGTAAGCTGATTTTACATTAAGTGGTCAAATCAATATTATTCAAATTGCATTATAACGTCATCTTCAAGCATCAGTGACTTTAGCTACTTACTTCTGAGAGGCTGAGAACAGACGGCGTTGTGCACACATGTGTTAAGGGGACTGGTATGAGGAAACGTTACGTAAAATAGTTTATTCCAAATTCCAGGTGATCACATTTGACAAATTAGTGGGTGCGGATATTGCAGTTATCCTCAATGTGACAAAAGTACAGAAACAGAAGGTTGAATTAAACTGTGTGAAGCAATGAGACTAGATTGAGGATAAACAAACCTTAAAGAACCATTAGAGAATAGTCATTTTCACATTCACATTTAGAGAACCTTAAGGGAACGTTGACCATTGAATAGTCAAAGCCAAAGTGCATTAGCAATTTAAAACAATACATTCAAACTAAATTACACTTTTGTATATTAAATTGCAACCAGGCAAAGTGCTGGACCACCGGCGGACCTCATTTAAGAAGAAATATTTATGGTAGTTAACAGTTAGAGACAAGTTATGGAAACAAATGGCTTACAAAGTTCCTGCAGCTCTGACTTCATGCAAAGGAATGGACGTCTAATTTCTCTAAAAACCTTTTAGGCTACTCACTCACATCATGTGTTATAGTGGCAACAGAATAAGAGAAAAAACACCGGTACACATGAGAATATAGGGATATTAGGAAAACTCATTTCTCTAACCGCCTGCTGCTTCCCCTCCTCTCTCCTCGGTTCCCCTCCTCGACTCCTCCGCTCGCATCTCCTGTGGGCGGGACTAAGACACGAGGAGGGGAGTCGAGGAGGGGAATTAGAGAAATGAGAAAGGGGGGGCCATAGTTTATCTAATGCACCAGCACTTACCTTGCTTGTTTGAAGCTAATATGTCAGCTGTTCTTTTTGTCCTTAGTTTGAATCTTTATGGTCTGTTGCACTCAGTGGCGGTTGGTGGAAAATATTTTAGGTGGGGCTGTGGAAATGGTGATCAAACAATACTAGGGGGCATTTTTTTGAGAAAAGACCCCCTAAATTATGACTTCTGGTGATGTTAGAGGGGGGGGGGGGGGGAAGGACAATTTGAGGCTTAAAAATATGAGAAGATTGATCAATACCTCCATAACTTCAGTGTGGTTAGCTATGAATCTTCCAAAACTTCCAAACACCTTGTCCTGGACATAGTTTCTACAGCATAAACTGTGCTAACAAGCTGAGATTCCACAGATTCTAGAAATATAAGTATCATCACTGAGCGATCAGAACTCGCGACAGGGGAAGCAAATACAGACATCACACGACGTAGCTTTAGGTAGCAAAACATGGAGATATGCTCACCTTTTGCAGAATAACAATTCTGATCAAAAATGAGAAAAACGCAGCTGAAGGTTAATCCATAGGTTAATCCAATGTGTCTGTCACTTTGAAAAATGATTGATGATCCATAATTCCATTTTTATGTCAAAAACTGAGTTTTCATTAGCTGCTAATGGTAGCTTCCAGAGTGTATGACAGCTTCCTGTTTTGTCTCCTTGGATACGAGTCCAAACAACTCACAGACTGCACCGGGCGCTCACGTAGGAGCCCTGTGACCATCAGATTTGACAACGCTGATTGGCTGAAATTATGTTTCGGCGGCATAGTTTAAAGATAGCAACAGTTGGCTTCTGCTGCACTTGCTGCCCTCTCGTCTGGGCGCTGTGCATAGCGCCCAGACGAGAGGGAGTAATGATACACTGGCAAGGCCAGGCAGGAAACATGTGACTTATCAGTAACTTTAGACATCGTAACACAATTTTAAACGAGATTTTACTGTAGATTATACATTTTACTGATACCAATTATATAATATTTACCTTGTTTATTAAAAATAAAAAATAAATATTTTTTTTTTAAATATATATATATATATATATATATTTTTTTTTTAATGTGGGAAGAGGGGGGGCGGCGCCCCTAGCGCCCCTATGGGCCGGCCGCCACTGGTGGGGGTGGACCTCAAATCCTCAATGGGGTCCGGGGGCATGCTCCCCTGGTAAGATTTATTTATTTATTTCATTTTGGAGTTAAATGCATCAATCTGGTGCACTTTGAGGGGCAAATAAAGAGACTAGATCTATGGGAACACCCATATGAAACAGAACTGTATACATTTAAATAATCATAAAATCATGGCCATAACCAATAACATACCATTTCCAATATGAAAAAACACTGAAACTTGCACACACACACACACACACACACACACACACACACACACACACACACACACACACACACACACACACACACACACACACACACACACACACACACACACACACACACACACACACACACACACACACACACACACACACACACACACACACACACACACACACACACACACACACACACACACACACACACACACACACACACACACACACACACACACACACACACACACCCTTCCTGAACACATTCCCACTCGCCCATTTCAAAGCACACCATGTTACTATTGTGCAATTGTTCCGTGTGACTCAGTTTGAATAACACATTCTGACCGACAGATTGACATCTAGAGTGTGTTCCTTATCAGGTCAGTAAAGTACATAAACAAATTCACACAGCATGGTGCACTGGAGAAAAGATTGATAACGTCAAACATTGGTACTGTACTTTGTATTTGTCCACATACGCGATTGTGATACTGTAAATACACATTTGCTACACAAGTGAACCAAATTGAATCATCAGCTGAAAATATATATACTATTTACTACTTTACAAGATATCTTTTAATAATTGGTCTTTTTCCACCACCATAAGCTGCACTGAACACGGCAAACACTATACTTGCTTAGCCTGTTAGCATGTAGCTCTCTTTATAGTCAGTCTTGTTAAAATATGAAATGTTATATTTTTGATCTGTTTTAAATATTTACAGTAGAAATTAATTAGCTAAAAAAAAGGGGTAGGGATGTTAGAAAGTGTTGAGAGTTCCTCATTGTTTTGGTTTTTTAAATATAGGCCTAGGAAGAAAAAAACAGCCTTTTCCTTCAAACTGATCTTTATGTGCTTCTTGAAAAAATTAAAATTCTGTTCACTGATCTCCCCGTAATGAAGTCTTTCCCAAAAAAGACATTTGTTTGTGAGATGCACCAAAATTGGAGTCAGTTACAGTCGAACAAATAGTTTGCAAAGGTCTCAAAAAGTTCTGAAGAAACAATTTGTACGAGCTTGAACTATCATTATACTTAGAACCAAATGCAAACTTGAAAATAATCAACGCCTGTTCAACCGAAACAGTGGGATGGGTTATTCTGGTCCGTGTTTTGGTTTTTGAAAGCACATACTTCACCAGAATAACATAGGAAAAACAGTTTTTTATTTATTTGATCATGTCCCCATAATCAAGTTTTTCTCAAATAAGAAAAGAAAAATGGTCTAGTGTTTTTCACAATCAATAACCCTAACCCTAGGGATGGTCGCTGTCCCAAAAAGTGAGTGGTTTAAAGTTTCAGAAGTCAGATTTAGATTTGTTTTAAATGCTTCTTGGCATAAGATGAA